ACTTGCGGGAATTATATCTGCTTTACTATCGCAAAAAAAAAAAAAAAAAAAAAAAGAGCCGTAGACTCATTGTTCTCCCATAGCCTGGAAGAACTACCTAAGGTAAAATTCACAGAATTGCCATCCCACCAACAACTGCAGCACCCAACATTCCCCAAGCGGCAGTCTCTAGGGCGACCGCACCAGCAGTGGATGTAGCGCTACCGGTAGAAGAACTGGAAGAAGAGGAGGGCGAAGACGAGCCGCTCTGCGCCTGGCCATCAGCAGTGGACTCGTTCGCATTGCGCTTTGCGGCATCCCCGGTGAATGAAGTCGCCTTAACCCCAGTGTTATTCGAGCAAGAGGAGGGTGCGGAATAGTCCGTCTCCGTGAATTGGATATCAGCACACTGGAATGAAACGTCAGTACCATGCGCCACATGAGGATTGATTGATCCAGGACGTACCGCGTAAAGACCACCGCTTGGGTCACCATTGCTCTGCACCTGCAGGGTTGCGTTCATTCCTTCTGTCAACTTGACGCCGACGACGGATTCATCGAAAGTGATATTGGGGAGGCAGAAGGAACCCAACCCCTCCACTCGGAAGGTCGGGTGGAGAGTAATGTTGAAATTGGTGCCAGGTTCGTTTCCAAGAGCAAGAAGCACTTCCACTGCTGTCTGGGCATGGCCCATTGTTAAGGCAACAGGGAAGTCACCGGCGGAAAGAGAGACCTTCGTCCGTTCCGAAGATTGAGACAGTCCACTGCAGGGAAATTGAGTCATCTTATCCTCATCGAATCCACGACTAGTCGGGTAGTTCAGCTTGAAGTGAGCGGAAACCAGGGGCGCGAGAGACGCCAGGGAAAGGATTGAGAGCTTCATAGTCGCTGTGGAGTTGAGGATTAAGACACTCGGAACGGGATATAGGTGTATGGAGGGAGAGGTGTTAGACAAATACGATAGGGGAATTGATTACATTATATAGTATTTGGAGGGGGGAGGTTGGTTGACTGAAGGTGCAGTGGACATCGATCGGCAACTTCGGCACTTTTCTACTCATAGGGACAAAACTGTTATCAATTGGAAATTTAAAGGAGATTAATGCATCGGACAAAGTTCCACCATATCCAAGAGTCATTGACCTAATATGAGGTTGCTTTGAAATCCGGAATGGATCTGGGCGCCATCATGTTGTTTGCTTGACATGGATCAAGAACGCATGCGCAGAGACTAAGATGGAAACGGTTAGGAAATGTGCTCATATCTTCTCAAAAGCTTTAAAGCACCTGCAGTTTGCCAGGTGGAGACCCCCTGTCGGCAGTATGAACCAATAGGGAGAGTCACACATCAACCACCCCCGAGATCCTTGGGCCTGAGGCACTTTGGCGTTCAGTCATCGCAATCTTACCTCCAACCCTAGTTGAAGTTTATTGGGCGAGAATGGACTCATATCATTCAATGTAACCAAAAAGGTAACCAAAAAAAAAAAAAAAAATGAGACGGGAACCCCGGAAATTTTCCTGGGGTAGGTGGCATCGACCGATGTGGCATAGAAGTACTACATAGTAAGTTAATAGCTACTTATCCTACTGTCATTCGTTGACATGAAAGTGAGCTCATGGGTATCGCCATTGGTACCTTCGAGGAGAATTCATGATAATAACAACTGATAGAGGTATCACGGACAGGTAATCGAACGCTCCAAACTCCGCTAAATGCATGCAATGCTCGCCTTAACCCCAGGGCCATTAGTGGAATGCCCAAACGCCAAACCCAGATTTCATAGATAGAAAATAAGAATTATGCCTGCAAAAGTCTCGTCAATGGCCATGCTCATTCCATTGAATATACCGCCCCACGGCCAGTTCGCCTAGAAAAGCACCACCCAACACAGAGCAGAAGTAGCCAATATTCATAGTCATGACAGCCAACATACTGGAAAAAGGTCAGTACATACTGAAATCAATGATGAAAGGTGACAAGTCAACACGTACAGCAGATATGACACCCCTGTAATCAAGAGAAAAAGGAATGCTCGCGGCAGATCGACACTGAATCTGAACGGAAGAGGCTCGCGTGTAGCCCGGCGCACAACTTTAACGGACTCTTCCACCCCTTGCGCTGATACGAGTGAAGCCACTTTGGCATCCGGATCGGCGTCGATACGACCAGCTTCCGTTGACTTGCCCGCGACGGCCACATAGCGACGATTCAGATGAGCATTCAACCAGTGCTGCTCCATGACACCCTTGAACGCAACCAGGAGTCGACCAATAATCGATAGAATGATAAGGAAGATGCACGTGCCAGCATACGCGCCACTGGATGACGGCGTCCACTGAGACGAGAACAGCGGTGTATCCTGGGCATTAACGAAGACCATTGCCATCGACATCGTCATGGATGATGAGGATGACGAGGGGGAGGACGAGTGTGACGAATGATCCATGCTGCTCATATCCATGGCGACGGGTTTGGAGTTCACTCTCTAGTTGACTCTTCCAAATAGTAATCTCGATAAAGGCGCCCCGCTATCTCGGATATCAGATCTCTCTTCTGAATTCAATCAAGGGATTTGATATGATAGTTGTCGCTGTAGTCAAGGAGTGATGTTGTTCGGGGTGCTGAAGAGGGAAGGAGAAAAGGGCGGATGAGAGGAGTGAAAAGAAAACACGACGAAGTGGAGAGAGAATGCCATGATGATTAGAGACGGCGTTGGGATCTTTATTAAAAGTTGAGACAAACCGACAGGCTTGAATGCGGACCAGAGCCAAGCGTCACACCAGCGGCCGAAGAGTGGAGACGTGAGCACATTTTAAAGGGCCGGGGCCTATCACGGGTCAGAGATTAGGGCTCCATCCGCAAACATCTACTTCGGAGTGTGAGCAGATTATTAGTCTTTGAGTGGAAATGGAAAGCAAACCAAATAAAATTAAATCAGAGAACACGCGTTAATAATTACTTAACTACATGGAGACTTGGTCGTTCTATCCGATAAGCAGTTTGCATCTTTTCCAGTCATTTCTGCTTCATCTACCCCCCTCACTCGCTTTTTCCCTCCTCCTCCTCCTCCTCCTCTTCTTCTTCTCTCTTCACCGAATATGATTTCCTACTGATTCCCCGGTGAATAACGCTTCAGTCGACGGAGATCCTTTAGATCCACCCCGGACTGCGTACAACCCAGTCATTATAATAGTGCCACGTGAGAAATTCAAGAAGATGTCATGATACCCCGCAATAGCGCTATTCAATTATTTCCTATTATTTTCGATTGAAGATTACCGATATCCGTCACAAAGAAATCGCACGCACAACTCCACCATGTCAATGGGTGGGATGAACATGGGCCCAATGGGCCATATGTCCATGGGCGATGGCGTTCCAGGCCTCTTCTATCTCCAGAAGATGTACTGGGCAGTGGTAGGAAGCGCCATAGCTGCTGGGACAATAGTCAATGCTTTCAATAATTTCCTCGCATTTCAAAGGTCAGTATAGCCCCGTCGTTCGAGAGATACAGTAAGGCTTACTCGCAACTCCAGACTACGAGACTCTACTCTCACCCCGTCAAAACCCAAATCACTGTTCTTCAATACATGCGCCACTCTGACGGCAATCGTTCGAGAAGCAAGCTACGCAACGTTGGCCCCATGGTCACTAGGTGGCCGTATCTTTCACTTTGCCCCGCTAGGTCCACTAGCTATCATCTTAGCCAATCTAGTCGTGGTCCTTGTCTTCTGCTTCTACAAGTTGGACACAGCAGATCAATGGAAATGGGAAGATGTTGGCTATCGCACCGGATTTGTAGCTATTGCCCAGATGCCTTTGATCTTCCTGCTGGCAGGAAGACAGAATATCATTGGACTTCTAGTCGGCATGAGTTATGAAAGATTAAATTGGTTCCATCGCTGGATTTCCCGGACTCTCTGGCTAACGGTCACGATTCATATGGGATTTTGGTTCCGGAGCTGGGGACGCTACAACTACATCACGTACCAACTGAAAAACGATCCCTTGTCGCAACGGGGCTTTGCTGCGTGGTGTATTTTGACCTTTATCGTCCTATCATCCATGGCACCCATACGACGACTAAGTTATGAATTCTTCGTTTTGCAACACCTCGTGACATTCGTTGGATTTATTGTTGCAGTTTGGCTACATGCCGCGAATGAAGTCAAAGTGTGGGTGTGGATTTCTATCGGTTTTCTCGTTTTTGACCGCGTCGCGCGATACGCATGGGCCACATATGCCAATTTATCCATCTTCCACCGCTCTACTTCAAGCACGAAGCATGCCCTCTGGGCTAACCGGGCTTCTTTTACTCCCTTACCGGGGAATGTCACTCGCATTACAATCGACAGTCCGGGTATCCGATGGGAACCCGGGCAGCATGTGTTCCTAACATGTCATTCAATCGTGCCCCTGCAAAGCCACCCATTCACCATCGCCTCTATCCCTGCCGACAACAAGATGGAGTTTTTTGTACGCTCTGAGAAAGGAGGCACTAGGCGTTTCTTCCGTTATGCATCTAAACATCACCACGTTTTAGGCTCCGGGGATCCGGCCCCCGTTAAACCGGCCCGTACCGTATTCATTGACGGACCATACGGAAGAATGAGGCCGCTCCGTCAGTTCGACAGTGTGGTACTGCTTGCGGGAGGGATGGGGGTGACCTTCATCATCCCCTGTCTGCGAGATATTGTGTCCCGGTGGAAAATGGAATGTCTTGGAGACAAGGAGCAGTCTGAGAAATCCTCGCGACTCATACCGACCAAACGTATCCGATTTGTATGGGTGATCAAGTCGCGGGCTCAACTTAGCTGGTTTGAGACACAGTTGCAGTCCGTGTTAACTGATGTAGAAGAATGTCGCCGTGTTCAGCCTGACATGATCCGAGAGGTTGAACTGAGCATATATGTGACCTGTGACGAAAAGCTGGAGCCACAGCCGCAACCAGCGCAGACTCTCTGCTCGCAGGCCCAGCCTGACTCCACAATTGTCAGTACTCGCCAAGATGCCAATAGTATAGAACCAGCAGCTATCACAGACGAGAAACGCAGCAAAAAGGACGATGTTTCGATCCAATCCATCTCCAAAATTTCTTCCGCAGACTCTACACCACAGAATGGCTGCCTCCCTGGTGGCGGATGCTGCTGTACAACTGCCATTGAAGATGAGGACAATAACAGCATCACCGAACATAAATGTTCCTGCTCCGGGCATGCCGCTACCTCTCAAGTTCCGGGGCCGGAACCAGAGAAGCCGGATGTTAAAGCAGCACCAGTTAGAGTACCCGAGCTCCCCATGTTCTCCGGTCGACCGCAACCACGAACCATCATCCGCAAAGTCTTGGAGAAAGCCGAAGGTGAAAGTGCCGTGGTGGTCTGTGGACCGCAGGGTCTATCAGATGACGTGCGCCGGAGTGTGGTGTATTTGAGCGACGAACGGGCAGTGCATAAGGGAACAGGAGCGCAAGGCATATATCTACATGCTGAGAAGTTTGGGTGGTAGAAGTCTTGTCTTCGAGTATATCATGCATGCTTTACGACTGTACATATCGACTTTGACAAATGGACATAGCTAATTTGCGAATTTTAATATACCATACTACTTCAATATAAACAATAACTGGTGGAAGATACGAAGTAATAGTACAAAACGTGTGCGTATCACTGACCGCACCTCTTTACTACCTATTCTAAAATGTCTTGACTAGCAAAGTAAATTATGCTAGTCCTTTCCAGTTCGTCGGTCCTATAGATATTACTACTGGTCTTTTGCATCAGCCTTCGGCCGGCTGGCCTAATGGTAAGGCGTTGCTCTCCTATGGTGGTTCCACTTGTAGTAAAGCAAAGATTCAGGGTTCGAGTCCCTGGTCGGTCGTTTCTTTTTTGTCATTTTTTCCCCCGTTTATCTTTTCTTCTGATATCTGTTCGTTCATATTTTCTATTTTGCAGTGCCAAGTACAGTCTGCTTTTCTCTTTTTCCTTTTCGTAATAAGTTTCAAATCTTGACCCTGGAACAGCCGACCAAACATTGTAAAGCATAGCGTGACAGCTGGTCATGTTCCCACTGAAAAACACGGTCATAATTAGGGCCATACCAAATGTATGAAGATACAGTATTACAAGGGGGGCAAAACCAAGACGAAGGAACCAGCAGGTAACCATCCCCAAAAACCCGTCACATCCAAGGTACGCAGTAATCAACCCGCATGGTAACTAAACTATCCGTTGTTTTGTAAATCAGACGCGGGTTAATAGGACCAAAGTATATATCTATAGATAGACAAAAACAACACTCGCCTAGAACACCCCCCAAATGAGCCTATACTATCTAATCCAGACAAATTGGCAAGAGAACAGTGAAGTCTAAGACATGAGATTTGGCCTGCCCGCATAGACACGGAACGCGTGATTTTGGTGGTGGCTGTGCCCACAACGCAACTCCTTTTCTTATGTACACAGAGGTTTCTCAGGGATCTGATCTGATCTGATCTGAGATCTGGGTCGACTGCGTGACGTGGAGCTGGTCGCCTTATGATCCCAAAGTTTAGATCTACGGGTTGAAATAAACTATTTTACTGGCATTGATGAAGGATGGTTTTCGCGTATTTGATACCCGGTGAAAGATGGGGAATTGGGATTGGAGGGTTGTGAGATTTTGCTGACGCGGTATGATGAACTGTAAGCGCCGATCAGTACCTGACCCGAGTGTACTTTTGTATGGGTGTATCAGCTATACAGTACGGAAGTACCGGGTATCACAGGAAAAGAGGACTGTAAGTACAAGTACAAGTACAAGTATTGGGATTTTGTTGAGCTTTCTAAAGGATATCGCATTCACTTTACACCTATGGAGGTATGCATAGTCTATTTGGTCCTTAACACAACTGTATTGAATTAGAATCCCTTGTATGCAGTACACGGTCTGCGCATGCTTATTGGGCAGATAATCTTGAGTCAGCATTTGCCGCGTGACAAATTTAGACTTTCAAGTTGAGAGACAAGGCTTCACACCATTAAGGCGTTGGCAAGTATAGCAAGACAATAGCTGCAAGAGTGAATGATAAAAAGAAGTTGATAATGGCGTGATTTTGAGATAGTTAGTTAGAGTGAATAAGAAAAAGAATGAAAATTGTTTAACCGGTAGAGGGAGGCATCAAAGATAAGAGCGGAATAGATTGGTAATTTTTTTGGAAATGGTATCAGCCGCGGGATCAAACTTACGCCGACGGTAAGGTTTTCGTCCTGACGAGCTCGCGTAACTTAACCGCCACCGTCTCGTCTCGTCTCGTTTTTCTCCTGCCCGTCAACTCTTTCCTTTTCACTTTCTTCCCCCGAGTCTTGCTGCCTTCTGCTCGACCAGCGCCCTTGCCTTCATCCTATACCGTCGACTCAGTCGTTGCGATCATCTCTTTCTTTAATCTAATCGCTTCAGGTAATCCATCCACCATCGATTTCATCAATCCTTTTGTCGTGAACATGGGTCGTACCGTCGACCAGGAAGTTCACGCGGCGTTCGTCGAGTTCCGCGCCAAGGAAGACGATAAGGTGCGTGTCTTTGTATTTTCCGTAATATTTCAACCCGCCGCCCCCAACACCGCGATACTGACATGACAACTTGTTTGCGTGCGATATAGTGTCTCTCCGTCCAGTGTATATACTGCCAGCAGATCCGCGCCAAAAACACCTCGCGTCAGAAGCAGCATCTGCTCGAGTGCCCCGGTCTCCGTGGCCATACCAACCCCCAGGCTCAGTCTCAGACTGCTCAGTCCGCTCCCAATGGTATCGGTGCTACCAATGGATATCCTCCTACTCCCAATGGCGCGACAGCCCCTGCACCAGGCCCTGGCCCTGGCCCAGGTGCCCTGCCTACTCCCAACGGGCCCATGATGTCGAACGGTGTCAATCCCCATGCTACCCCGATGCAGACGCCGCTGCAGAACATGCAAGGCCGCGCTTCTCTTCCCACTTCCGGTCCCACCGGCACCTCCTCTGCTCCCCCAACTCAACAAGCTTCTCGTGCGACTCCGAAGTCTAAACCGAAAACCTCGTCCTCAAGTCTGCCCGCCCCGCCTTTGGACGATGTACACGCTGCGTTTGTCGAGTTCCGTGCGAAGGAGGAAGACAAGGTAAGATACGCGTCTGCTAGTGCCATGCCTGATACTGCCGAGCATCCGTGTCTGACTGGAGTCCAGTGTCTCTCTGTCCAGTGCATCTATTGCCAGCAAGTTCGCGCGAAGAACACGAGCCGTCAGCGTCAACATCTCTTGGAATGTCCCACCTACCTTAGTGTGATGAAAGATTCGATCCCCGCCAACAACCTCCTCCACACTTTCCCGGAAGGCGACGTGGCTCGCTCATTGCAGATCCCCGCGCCCACTCTCGAATTGGACTTCCGCATGAGCATAAAGATGAACCCGAAGGTGGCTGTTGGTCAGAGTCTTTGGGGCCAGAGAGACTGGGTCACGTTTGTCGGTGGCCAATGGGCGGGCAGATGGGGCAAGGGTATCGTGTTGGTATGTCGGAGGATTCATCAATGGTTCTTAGCGCGATATACTGACCAAGTTCTAGCCCGGAGGACAAGATTCGCAGATCGTGACGAAGGAATCCGCCACCAGTCTTCGCGCAAGCTACATGCTTCAAACCGCAGATGACCCACCCGCTTTTATCATCGTGAAGACCAATGGGTGGCTCACGGGTGCCAAGGACGTTTTGGACAAGGTCAACGATCCGGGCGTCGCGGACACGATCAACCCCAACACGTACAAGTATCGTATCAATCTCACCATGGAGACTGGTGACGAGCGCTACGCATTTTTGAACACCTTGATGTGGGTTGGCAGTGGTTGCCGCAGGGGCCATGAAGGTTAGCAGGAATCGTGATCCCGTGTAGGCAATACTTTACTAACTGCGTTTTAGTCATCTTTGATTCGTTCCGTGTCAATTGATCTGCTACAATATTGCAGCTGTTTTGTCGGTTCTTCAGCGAGTAATTTTTTGAGGGGAAAAATTGTGCTTTGGTTTCTTCGCAAGTTGTGTCTCTATCTGCCCCAGAGTATGTCTTGAGCTTTGCCAGTGTTTGAGCCCTGTTGATCTGGATACATGCTTTTTTGCCTCATCCCAATCACGAGTCCGCTTGATGCGTTCGTGGAGCACCCATGTTCTTTACGACTTCTCTTCGTTTCTGTTTGTTACTACTGTAAGGTATTTCATTTTCTTTGTGTCGAGGTGCAAGACTGGTGAATTTCTACTCTTCTTCTATATCTCCCGGTCCTTTTCATATTAGCAGTGCAATGTGAATATCCTGTATCTCTACGAGAATGAAAACTTTCAGTTGATCGGAGATATATAAATCTCAACATGACAAACGAAGACCACGAAAATAACCACATAAAACAACAGTATCACACCGTAAATCCCGAGATGGAGTACCTAGCTCCAAAGGGAAAAAAAAAAGAAAAAGAAAAAGAAAAAAAAGGTATAGAAAATAAGAATATACAAACAAAACCAACATATAGATCTAGATATAGATAGTAGACATAGGATACCGTAATATTCACTAGTCAGTAGGGGATAGGATACTCCGTACAACTGTACAGCTATACAGGTACGGGCAGTAAGTATGTTAGTAAGTAAGTACCGGAGTACGGAGTACATATAATACCAAAGAAGCTAAAAAAAAAAAAAGAAAAAAATTTAAATAAATTCGTAACGCAGTATAAAATAGCGTATAGTAAATATTAAATACCCCCCATAAACCTAAAAGAAAAAAAGGTAAAAACAGATTTCCAAGGTAAAATTACTCGCACTAGCTACCTTTAACTAAACTATAGGTTATTTATTCTAGTTATTCGAAGTATAAAAGTGTACGGGTGTACTTCTTCTCGGGACGTATATGTATATGTATATGTTTTTGTTGATGAGAGATTTATACATTCTTACATATCTTATGCATTGTAGGAATCATGTGTATATAATGTTATCTTGGCCAGTTATGTTTTTGGGGATGTTTTTTCCGCGCTGCGTTATTGAACTTGGGTTTGCCAAAGGGTTGGGGTTGGGGATTTGGGGGTTCTGATTCTATCTTTTCTTTTCTGTTCTTTCTTTTCTGTTTTTTTCTTTTCTGTTTTTTTCTTTGTTTTCCTTTACCCTTTGGTTTGGGGGTTTTAGTTACTCTGAGTGCTTGTTATGGTCTTGTGTTGATTACTGGGCGTGTTGGAAGGTTGTTGTTTTTGGGGGATTTTTATGGATCCATTAGCGGTGGATGGATGGGGTGTACCTATAGTGTAGGATATCTATTATTGCTATAGTTGTGCCCTATGTGAGAGTATGCATTACATGTTAGAAAGAATTGGAAAATTGCAATTACTAGGTATATTTCTGATGGCAAAATAAAATAACAAACAGTCGTAAATCGGCGTCTATGGTTTACATTGAAAGCATGACTATATTGGAACATCACTTGGGACATCAACTCTCATTTAACCCTGTCAAGTCTGTATCCACTGACTTTTGTTTTAAAAACCTACAGGCATCATTAGTAACAGTATCCTAAATGGTGACTGTAGTAGGGGATCTTACCCTTTTCTGTGTTTCCGTCTCCCATGCTCTTGCTACTGCTGTTGCCGCTTTGGATGGCACCCAGGATACCATCCATGTATGGCGCACCGCTCCATTTCTGGTGAGTTAGGACCTCGACCCCGAGTTCCTTCTCGCGTGCTTGGATTTGGCGCACGTAGGCGAGCATGCCCTCGTCCTTGAAGGCACGGGAAAGCTCCGTTGTCACGGTGGCGTTGGTGTGTAAGCCGGCGAGGGAGATCAATTGCAGCACGAATCTAAAAATAACATATTAGCCTGTGCATAGCCTATGTCAGTAACGCAACTTACCCGTGCGGGGCAAGGTCCCAAATGAAAGACTTGAGGGACTCTTCGGTGAAGCCCTGTCCCATCCAGTTGAATGACGGACTGAGGTTGTAGACCAGCTTCTTGCCGGGGAAGGCGCTCCGTACGTCTCCGGCCAGCTTGGCGGCCTTCTCGACGTTTGGATTGCCGGTTTCAACCCAGAGGAGGTCGGCGTAGGGGGCAAATTCCTTGGCTCGCTTGGTGGCTGCTGGGAAGCCCGCCTTGTAATGGTAGTAGCCTTCCCGCGTCCGGGGAATATCCCAGGACCAGACCACTGGGGTTTTTGTGTAGTCACTTGCGAGGGCTCTCCGGCGGGTAATGGAGAGGTCGGGATTCTCCTGAACTCGCTTTTTGTATGCATCCCTAGCTGATTGAGCGGCTCCTTCTCTTTCGAGGTGTGCGTCGACAGCTAACAGGGTCAGTATGGACAATTCAGACGGAGAAATAGGTGTTAATACCTTCGTCGAATGTGACAAGCTTGTGGCTCTTGACCCAGTCCAATTCATAAGCATCGATCTCTGCAGGGGCAGCGCCTTCCCGCTCCATCGCCTGCAAAGTTTCTGCCAGAGGCTCGGCCTCCTCTGTCACACCTAGGATAAACTCGTGGTCGCGCACATCGATAGCGCTGCTGAGCAGTTTTCCACTCTCCGAGTCTGTCCGGGCGATGAGGAGGTTCTCAGAGCCCATCATATCCCATTGGAAACGAGCGGCAACAAGCCTGTTGATATGCTCGCCCACGGGCACAATGACCTTGCCTGCGAGGTGACCGCACTTCTTTCCGCCATGGAGCTGGTCTTCGAAGTGGACCGCAGCAGCGCCATTCTCAGCGAAGAGCTTGGCAAGCTTTAGGACGGCAGAGAGTCCTCCGTGTCTACAAGGGTAGCCGTTAGTCAATAAGTCTTCACATAGTCCGATAGCATTGCATACCCAGTATCTCCGTCCGCGATAATTGGTCGCATGAAATCTACGTAAGGGGTAGACTTCCGCTCCTCCGGGGTCATTTTCCGCCTAGCATCCCAGTTCTTGCGATCATGCAGTTGTTGAGCTTTGAACAGTCTCTGGACTTGGTTCGGAACCGTGTTGTACGGGTAGTCACCCATGTCTGGCGATACTTCGTGGGTAGTAGTCAAAAGGGAGGAGCATGCCCAACCGGAAATATACAGGACTTCTTGGTTCGGGGCCTGCTGCGTCATTTGAACCGGATCAATGGCGCCCACTGTAAAGGGATCGTCAGCTTTCGTCTTCGCCACCTCGGTCTTGAACGGGACACATACTGGTATGAACTGGTTTCCCTTCCGCTGCTCTTTCATTCAGCAATTTGAACAGTTTCCGTGCCATCAAGGAGCTGGGGTAAGTCTGTTGCAGTGAGCCCCGTTTGCTGACAACGTCCGCAGCCGAATAGGGTCGCTTGATGCCCTCGAAACGGGGCGTCTTCCACCACGCTTCCACATCTTTGATCTGTTGCTCGTACAAAGCATCCTCAGCTGCTCCGGCCTTGTCAACTGTCGATAGAAGTTGGTAGGAATCGCATGGTAATGCTGTCGACACGGGGGGTTCAACAGCGGATAGCGGTGGCGCCGACATCCGCGGGTAACCGCAGGTGAAGGAACGAAGGGCGAGGCGAGATGTAGACGAGGGCGTGGGAAGGCGTCGAGGGATTCGACGGGGAATTGATCGAAACATTATCTGTGACAGTGCGATGGTTCACGATAAAGCGAAAGGTCTATGGAGGAAAAGAAAAAAAGGGGGAGAAGGAAAGGAAAGGAAAGGAAAGAAAAGAAAAGAATAGAATCATTTATGCCGGGTGATGATGAGCCTGAGGATTGTTACCTCCGCGGCGTTAATGACTAAATTAAATGGGCCGACCCGCCAACCTCGGTCGGTCTGGGGATCCCGTTTCCCCGCCATCCCATCCAATTCATTCAAAAGTGCCGATTTTCGCTGCAACTGCACCGGAGTATGAATGACTAAGGATCTCTCCATTCTCAGGTTAACTATATAAGAAACTGCTGCAGGGGCGAACTCTCTCCGAACATGCATATTTAACTTAGCAAAGGCTTACATCTCATCCTCGTATGTAACCCTCACTAGTCACTGTGGACTTCCAACAAATGCGACCCGTCGCTATACTAGTATGGGGCCAAATGCCGATCGACTGGGGTTGTATCGGGCGAGAACAGAGTTTGCATCGTTCGAGTTGGTGGCTGGTGTTGGATTCTTACGCGAGACCTTCCATGATTTGCTCCTCTATCGCCATCAAATGTAGTGATTGGGTCGTAGCATCGTGTAAAACAGGTATCCACGATCTGACATACAGATGTGTATAAACAACATATATAAGGGTCTCTCACCACATAATCATTCTACACTCTTTGCAATCCAAGAACTGACATGGTACATATTCTGTACTGTGCTTCTCTCTCTATCTTTCCCTCTCTCACCCTGATTCCACCGTCCCGGCACCACCGTCATGTGCGGATTAACGGCCTTTTTGACTGTTGGGGGAACACCTGGTTGTGTTCAGTGTGCCAATAATGCTCCCAGCCTAGAGAAACAGTTAGAGGAAAGCTTAGACTTGGTCAAACATCGAGGTCCAGATGCGCGTGGTCGTTGGTTCAGCCCTGACCACCGGGTCGGTAAGTATTCTTGTACTCCACGAATAGCTGGTTACAAGACATTAATCCACGACAAGGTCTGGGACATGTCCGACTCTCGATCATCGACTTGAGTCCTGCAGGAAACCAACCGTTCCACGACAGCGAGGGCGCTATTCACGCTGTCGTCAATGGCGAGCTCTATGACCACGAGCAGTATCGAACGGAGCTGGCCCAGGAGTACGACTTCAAAAGTAACAGCGACTGTGAAATTGTCATTGCGCTCTACCGACATTATGGAATATCCTTTCTCAATAAATTGAGAGGCGAGTTTGCTCTTGTCCTCTATGACGCGAATCGCAAGCTGTTCTTGACGGCCCGTGATCGATATGGTATCAAGTCACTGTACTGGACTATGGTCGGCAATCGGCTTTTGGTCGCTACAGAAATGAAGTCTTTCCTACCTTTTGGCTGGAAGCCAGAGTGGGATGTCGTAGGTATTAGGGAAGGCGCCTGGCTAAACGGCTCGCAGATGTTCTTCAAAGGGGTGCAAAGAGTACGTACGATATACATGAAATCCCTGGGACGTGCTTAATGAGTGCTTTCATTATTGTTGCTTATATCTGACAATTACTCAGCTTGCCCCTGGGCAGTATATGGTCAGTCGGAACTTCATGCCCCCTGAGGTGGGAACGTACTGGGATACCGATTATCCAGATAAAGTAGGGGTCCCCCCAGCAAACATGCTTACCTCCTAGATTCTGATCGAATATAGAAAACAGTCTACGCGCATTCTGAAGAAGAGGTAATAGACCGAGTGAGGGAGCTTATGCTCGATGCTGTCCGAATCCGACTGCGCGCTGATGTGGGCCTGGGGATCTATTTGAGTGGAGGTCTAGACTCGTCCGCCATAGCGGGTATGGCCGTGAAGCTTGTCCAGGAAGGAACCAAACTCGGGAACGACACAAGCGGTGAGCGTTCAAAAATAGACTGCTTCACGGTCCAATTTGAAAAGGATAGTGGGTACGACGAGTCAGGTACGTCTTTCAACTTTGGTCCTTTTCCTTGGATATATCTCCTGAACGCTGGCAGATATCGCGCGACGAACCGCCGAGTGGTTAGGCGTGGGATATCACCCTGTATACTTGAACGAGGAGGCCATTGCCGCCAGACTCGAGGATACAGTCTGGTATAGTGAAACTCCAGCCGCCAATGTCAATGGAATGGGACGGCTGGCAGTAGCTGAGGCTGCCCATGCCATGGGGAAAAAAGTCATTCTCACCGGTGAGCGCCGCTGTCCATTGTGGCACTAAATGCACAGTTATGTTAATCATGCTGCGATTCTTAGGCGAGGGCTCCGATGAGCACTTCTCGGGCTATTCTGACTTGCTACCCAACTTCCTTCTAGAGCCGGATCCTTCGTGGCCGCAGTCTCTCGCTAAACAGCGTGACTTCGCAGAAGCTTGGAAAGTCATGGAGGAGAGAAATCAAATACTCTCGATAGGTATGGATGAAGTGGCCGCTCCAACAAAACGTATGCTTAACAATACCACGTTATGCGGCCGGTTAAGCATGATCACCAATTTGCCGTACGCATCTTGGACAGACCAGCTTGCGCTGAGGACTCCAGCTGCAGCCTTTGCGGAGAACTTCGGTGTTCAGGTCCTTCACAAGATGATGGAGAAGTGGCATCCTCTTCATGCGACACAGTATCAATGGATGAAATCTGTGCTCGCGAACTATATCCTCCGCTATATCGGTGATAATATTGACATGGTCCACCAGATTGAGACGCGACCGCCCTTCCTTGACCATTACGTTACAGAATATGCGAATAATATCCCCCCAAGCCTCAAAATCAAATATGACTCTGAGAGTAAAACTTTTCGCGAGAAGAATGTCCTGCGTGAAGCTATGAAACCGTTTGTTACGGAGGAAATCTATAACCGTACAAAGCACCCATTTGTCGGACCAGTTAAATACCAAGAAGATGGCCCCGTGCACAAGAGCTTAAAACGATTATTGACAGAAGAAAATGTCAACCAGCTGGGATTTCTCGACAATGATCGGGTGCAGAGCGATCTCGTAAAGGCATTTCGCGACAAGGATGGTGTGTGCTTCCAGAGAGCATTCACTGTGGCCCAGTACGTTGTCCTGGGACAAAGATTTGGGGTCAAGAAGGCCCAGGATCCTGGATGCAGCGAGACATCCTCTAGGCTGCTGGTATGAGCCAATAAAGAAGATAACAAGCATTTCCAGTTTCATGAATGCCCAATGATTCCCCCCTAAAAGGCATCTCATTCTAGTCTAGCGGTAGCTAAACGTTTGTGCAATGCGAGAGAAGGGTTCATGTGAGCATCCGAAGGGATAGCGTTCTCGTAAAACTGTCCGCGTCATCCATGACAATAACGGTCTTGCAGTATCATTGGGGATCCCGACAATTCAGTGACTCGTTTAAAAATCGATAATCTGTAAGGGTTGATCCCATGACTTATCGGTGGCGTAGGATTGCATCTGGTTGGCGCCTACTATTGAATGCAGTACACTGGAAGCCAAATATTGCGATCCTCGGATATAGCTTAGTACTTGCGGTATGCACAAGTACACAAGATTCGCGGCCTAAGAACAAATTCTTTCTCAGACGGACCGGTGATGCTCTCCACCTGTCAGCTGACCGGGCCGGACTCCGGTTCTTGGTTTTATCGGATTGTAGCCGAATAATGGTCCCCGAGAAAGTTGGATGTAGCTGGTGAACTATGGATGATACATTGATGAGACAATGACCGGTTGAGCTTTTAGCCCTTTATAAAGTGATATCTCTCAGCCATGTCAGTCCCTCCTTGCCACCCAAGGCATCAGGGAGGCCCTATTCTTAATTGATTATGAATGGTTTTGTCGAATCTTAGAAGCATAGCCAGCCGATAAGGTTTGCAAATACCGTCAGAGAGATATTGACTTCGGGGATGTTGCCAGGTAAACTTTCCTAGTATATGTTGGAGAAGCGGGGAGCGGGGGAAACGTGGAGAAAGAACGTGGGGGACTCGTTTCCGGAACGAAGATCTGAGGAGATTTATCCGTCTGTCGGTAATTTATACCCATTCAAATTTGACAGGCATGGTAGACCATCAAGGAGATGGTATAGAATGCATCGTAAGAAGCTAGCATGCAACTCAAAAAGCGAAGCTGCTTCTTGATGTTTCTTCAGACAGATCAAAGTTGCCAACGACTTTGTCGATCATGTTACCATGGAAGGAATCCTTCGCCCGCGGAAATAGGCCGAAGTACATACTAGTACCAGCCACATATGACTAGACTAGTCCATGCCTCTTGGCCAGTATCCAGAGTGTTGCTTTTTAGACTCCGTGCAGACAAATGTGGAAAAGAGGTCATGTGTCTAACTATTGCCTGGCAAGGAGCCGAAGTTCAATCTTTTTGTTTTTGTTTTTGCTGGTGGGTCTAATACTGAAAGGTAATAATGAAGGATCTATAGTGTCTTGACCGTTTTCCCGAAACTTCTCCGCATCTCTCGGTCTTCGAGGATTTCCTACTGATTGCTCTAGTATAGACAAGATTTTTATCACCCCAAGTATGTACATGTTTCACAGCATATTCAAATCAAAGGAATTTATCCAGTTTCTTGTAGTGCCCAGGTTTATATCAAGGGGGGGTCCCGTAGCTTTGGCTAAACTGCAAGTCCCAACCATGGAACGTCCCTAAGCTTAGGTTTCGTCATCACTTTACTGATCAATGAAACCCAAGGAAGGAAATCAGTCTTATGACAGGGTTATCCAACACATTGACAGGTTGCAGGTTTCCGCTGGACTTTTAAAATAGTTACACATGGCCCACAATGATTCGAACCCTCATGAATCTGGAACAACGGAGTGGACATGTGTAGGATTGCTATATGTCCATGTAAATCATTCGTCACGTGTCGCATGATCACGATGCACACCTGAGCTGGTACTATCCTAGTTCTGGAAGGAGTACTTCTGGACCTTTATGGACTCAAGCAGTGTGCGACAACTTCCTGGTACCGTACGAGTAAATCAAGTACGTACCCTTCCAGGCTGACCTGGATCAAAGGGCAAACCGACACCTTGGAACTTGTCTAAGTAGATAGACTTGGAAGAAGAATTGGACTAGAAAAGTAGAAGAAGAAAAGAAGAAAAAGATCATTCCCAGTCCAGGAAGATTAACGATTAACCGCCACCCCGACACATCGAAAGCCCCGTGCGTCAATATTGTCGCACATGGCGGTTGTAATGTGGAGTTTTCTGCGAGTTGGCGAGCCAACGTGAGTCCAAGATGGGGCGGGGGGGGAACAGTAATTCAGGATAGGTTGTATGTACAAGTATATTACAAGTGGTACGTGGGTGTTCCTGCGACTAGGTACAGTACATACTGGGGGAGAAGTACGGTTGTATACTAGCTCTGACAGGCGGTACATGTACTTCTCACTAGTAGTTCCCACTTCCACTCCAGATTTCAATCGACCCTCCCCAATTAACTCCGCTGGTCGGAAAGGAACCTATCAAATTCCAAAAGAGGGGGAACCTTTTCCTCTCCCCAACCAACCACCTGCGTCTAAATCGTCATCTAAAAATTGTTAACCTCGCTGAGTGGCGTCAGTCCACCCTATCACTGAATCATGATAATTTTATTAACAACTGGCCCCTTTCTGTGCTTGATATAGATTCCAATGAACTTTTAATTCCTGCATCTTGGCTCCCATGGTTAGCCGACGGATGGGCCATCCGATGGGCTGGATTACGAGGTGAGTGTCCCCGTGTTTGCCGACCTTCCCTTTGGTACCCCTCCTCCGTCTCTTGATCGAGAGATATAATACATGGAAAGAAGAGAAGAAAAAGAAAGAAAGAAAAAGAAGAGAAAAGAGAGAAAGAAAACATTATCTTTTTCTCCAACACCAGTGTGTGTGTGTGTGCGTGTGTGTGCCTGTGCCCCATGCCGATGGGGACTTCGGGTCTTGTCTGAGCTCTACTAGCCTACTGGATCGGCATCGAGTCCGCGTCTTCCGCTTTGCTCCAGTTGTCTCCGCAATCCTACTGCCCTAGTGCAACTCTTATCACTGATGCGGGTTTCTCCTCACCGTTCGGCCTTTTCATTATCTATTACTTGGAGTACTCGAGCCCCTTCCCTATCTATCCCACTTATTCCCGTCTGAGGCGGCTAACCCTTATCTGTTCACCTCTCATCTGGATCCTGGGTTGAAGGCCACAATCTCCCGTGAACTCCCTGGAAAGAAGCTCCTCTCTCATTGTTATTGCCTCTTTTGTTTTGTACAACTCACACTTTCTTTGTCTTGGCATCCTCCTTGACCTTCTATACCGATTTTCTATCCCGACAGGTCTCATGTCATCGCTTCTCCTTTGCGTGGGCATGGAAGACATTAAAATCCCCTCGCCATCCGCCATCTTAGACCCTCAGCCGGCCATTTCCCCTACTGGTGGACTTTCTAGGCCTCTCAGATCTCCCACCACTAAGAAATCGGTATCAGGACAGACTACCACAAATCCTACCATTTCTGGAAAACCTAAGCAATCAAAAAGCCGTAACGGTACGGTAGCACTAGTTCTTTGAATCATTCAAGAAGAGATGGATCGGACGAGGAAAAAAAAAATATTATAATAGAGAAGAGGGGAGGGGGAGAGAGAGAGAGAGAGAGAGAGAAAGAAAGAGAAGAAAATTAAACAGAGGTCTATAAACGCGCAGTGCGCTGACGTTCTCCACTCTTTCACCATTCAGGTTGCATCACTTGCAAGGCGAAGCGGTTAAAATGCGACGAGTCAAAGCCAACTTGCTTACAGTGTAAGAAACGAAATGTGGAATGTGGAGGATACAAAAAGGACTTCAAGTGGCGCCCATTCGAGGAAACTAACGTTGCGGGGAGGGTATCGACGGCGAAAATCAAAAAAGGTGCGTACCGCTTAGCCTGATGAGAATCACGAAGTAACTGATGAGGTGGTCCTATAGTCACCTCGTCTCCTCCTAGCAGAAGAGCAAACCTAAGTATTTCAACTTCTCCACCCACGGAGCACTCAGAAGCACAAGTAAAAGATGAAACGGCTGTTTCGCAGTCGCTCCCATCGGATACCAGTGATTTTGCCCAATCCCTCGTCCCTCAATTAAGGGATCCCCCAAGTCAGTTGAACAAGCGTCGCGTTGCGCAGAAGAATCTCTCGTTCTGCGCAGACAGTCTGCTAGACAACACAGACTTGGGACATATTGACGAGGACGTCTTTGTGCCATCTTTAGAAGAGATTGCGCCGCCAGATGAGTCTCCATGGCCATCGGATATCTCACTTCCCACCGCTGAGTTTGATACAAGCCCTGGGGAAACCACTCTCGCGATCCCGGGGGAAGAGACTGTCCATGAGTCCGACGATTTCAGCTTCGCTGCCCTGCTAGAAGGCGATACCGAAGATATAGAAGCGATCGTTCGACAGTCCGACCCAAGTGTGAGCCCAAGCCTGTTCCAGTTTACAGGAACCAGTGTGTCTCCGCGGTCAGGAAATACAGACATCAGCCTTGGTCTATTCAAAGAGCCTACCATATCTGCTGGCAGTCCCGAAAGGTTGATTATGCACTTCGACAGATACACCTGCGGAATACTATCTGTGAAAGATGGGGCCCATGAGAACCCGTGGCGAACATTGATATGGCCACTGGCTAAGGACACACCAGCCTTGTACCACGCAATATTTTCTCTGTCTGCCTTTCATTGCAGTAAGAAAAATCCTTCCTTGAAGGTTTACGGGATGGAGCACATGCGCCGGAGCATCGCTTGTATGGTGCAGGACATCCAAAATATGAGAGCGGATGCCGCTTTGGCCACAAGCCTAGCCCTTGCATTTGCTGACACTTGGGACCGGGACACTCGTTCATGTATCCAACACCTACGAGGAGCCAAAGCGTTGGTATCACAAGTGGTGGGACTTGGATTGCAAGCTGGTTTGTGCGCAGCCGATTTGGACAGGATTCGATTCCTTTACAACACTTGGCTGTATATGGATGTCATTGCACGCTTAACATCCCTGGAGGAATCCGGGGAACAAAAGATTGATCTTTCCATCCTCCAGCTTCCCAAAAACGCAGTGCATGAGATTGACCCTCTTATGGGCTGCGCCACCACACTCTTTCCGCTCATAGATCGAGTTGCCCAGTTAATCCAACGAGTGCGGAAGACTAATTCCAACTCAATATCCCTCGTCTCGGAGGCTATTGAGCTGAAAAGGCGTGTTGAGCAATGGGAACCCCCTGACTGGTTCGAGCCACCTGAAGACCCAACTTCGGAAGTGCAACACAGTATACAGATTGCACATGCATATCGCTGGGCAACAATTCTGTATCTTCATCAAGCTGTTCCGGAGATGCCTTGTGAGCCGGCGTCAGAGCTCGCCAAGCGAGTGTTACTGCTGCTGGCCACCGTTCCACCGAGCTCCCGTACAACAATAATTCAAATGTTTCCTCTCTTAGCCGCCGGGTGTGAAGCTGATCAGGAGGAAGACCGGCAATGGGTGCTAAGTCGATGGAGATCCATCCAGACTCGTCTCATGCTGGGTTCAAGTGATCGCTGCATAGACGTGGTCCATGAAGTTTGGATGCGTCGAGACCAGTTCGAGGCCGAGAAGCAACGGCGACAGTTCCGAGGGGCGGGTCGTTCCAATTCCCTTAATAATCGGGAACCGGTTGAAAGAGATGGATTACCCTACGGAAACATGACACCCGGGAATATAAATAATCCCTCCATGTTTGCTAAAGAGTCATACAGAAGACCAGCAGCTGATGACCGGGCGATATCCTCCAGGGGAACTGGGAACCCACGGCGGAGTTCTGCGGTTTCTCCCCTGGAAAACATCGAATTTGAAAAGACCGTTAGAGGGAAGTTACATTGGGTCAGTGTTATGCAAGAATGGGACTGGGAAGGTAAGGTTTCATTATTTCATCTATCACCCCCTCTGTTTGGGAAGAGACTGACAACTTAATCATCATATATATAGTATTTCTTGGGTGAAACAACTCCCAAAAGAGAGAAACATGGCCTCAATATTCATCACGCTGTTATGAACGATCCTGCGTCATAACACGGCTACCCCCGAGGTTCTCATGTTTTTTAGTACCTTGGGGGCGTTCCACGCGTGGCTGTGAATGCCCTGTCTCATGATGTTTGGACGAGCAATCGAGATGCTCGTCGACCCGGTCCTCCAACCCGGGGGACGCGGATCTGTCTCTAGCTAGATAGCTGCGGAGGGAAGCCAGATATGGCTCCAGATCGCTTGTTATCGACACGGTAGCCATTTTTGCCAAAGGGCGCAAGGGCTTTGTTCTTGTATGATTCAGTTTTTTGACGGCGTTTGCCTGTCTTGCAGCAACTGAGTGTTTACTATCTGGTGTGCAAATCAGCATGGCGTTTGGCTATTCCAGGAGAAGTTACGGACTTGGGCTTAAACACAGGTCGAGCGAGGAGCCTCGAGTTGCGATGGCTAGGTTTTGGTGTTTTCCGGGCATTTGACGTGGTCTTTGGTCGCCTTGGTAGAAGCAAGCTCTGGGTTTTACGTTGCGAACACAATGGCGCATGGGAGATAAATAGATTTTGGTGTCCAGAGCCGTGCTAGGCGAACAGGGAGGCTTGCTTTCAGTATCACAAATCTCGTAAGCTAGTGTCGCGGTTGGCTGCCGGGTACGGGTCCCGTATATGAGGTATATATCGTCAACTGGGGGGGGGGCAGCAGAAAAAAACGGATATGCCGTATATGTATGTACAACAATCTATCGAATTACTCTCGGGCACTGGGAACCGATCAAACCGCCAAGAATAGGGGGGAAGTAGTTGTTCAGGAGGAATGGTCAGTCCCGCCGTGATGGAAGAAGGGAGGTATCTGCGCGGGATTGGTACGAGTCGCGTTCTGCATTGGGTGTCTGCTGCTTTGCGTTGGGTGCCGTCATGAACAGTGTTTGGCCTCGTTCTTGTTATTGCTTGGGCTGATTTGAAGTCGGACCGAACGGGTGAAGGGAAGTTCGTAATGGCGGATGAGGAATTAATGGAAGAGAAGGAAAAAGAAATGAGAGAACAAAGGAGATGGGCGGTGTGGGATTTAAAGGGGAATCCCAAAACTTGAATAGCTCACTGAAGAAACGTATTCGTAATCAAAAGAAATTAGTACCGCGGATGATCTGATCCGGATCAGGAGAGTATTGCAGTATTGAGTAGTATTTGAGGAGTATTGCGTTTCTACCGGCATACTAGAAAGGGTCATCTTACCCCGGGGGGAGTGGGGGTTTGATACTTAAGTGGTATTTGGTCTCCCGCCCATAATTAGGGGGGATTGAGAACGAATGGGAGAAGGTAACATTGGGATTGGTCTTATTAAGGTCGATTAATTAGCATCGGGCCTAGTACTCATTACTCTTTCTCTTTTGGTAGGTCAGGTATTTATAGTTTGATTTGGTTCCGTTGGCCGGTGTTGGTTTAATTAAGTATATTCTTGCGAAGATATCAGGATCTATATTAGTGCCTTAATTGATCTCAGCAGTGCCGACTTCTTCTTTGGTACATACATAGTAACATCATGGATACATCCATACCGACTGTACTTTATGTGTACTTTCTGTACTGTCAATCAATGCCTTCCAATACGTACCATTAAATCATGAGGACGTAGTAGTATCCTGAAACGCCCCGTGCGTTGCTGCAATGACTTATCGAAGTATGTACTCATTCCCGCAGATCAAGTCTCGTGCCCTTTTCCCTCACAGAGATCCCCCCCCTCTATCCTTTCACTGTGACATAAGCCTGTGCCGAAGATCTCAAGCTCTCTGCCGAGGTTAGGTCATGATTCATAGCGTGCGTCATATCAACGGTAGCGATATCCTCATTTGTTGAACCGAGTGCCTAGCTAGTCGCTCGTGGAACTCTGTCAGGACCAGATTAATTCCCTTTCCTCCAATGCCGGAGCACGGAGATTTGTAATCCTTTGTGCTGATGGGAATCCGAGGCTCCTATTGAGGTCTTATTGGGTGAGGTTCAGCCGAGCGCATGACTTTATGATGTCATACATGCTGGTGGCTCTGGAGAGCCTTATTTATATGTTAATCCTCGACCGCCACTCGTACATGGGAACAGTTGCTTTTGCATATTATTACAGAGTACTATTCAAACAGTTATTATCTTATTATTTATCGTGATATATAAGAGGCATCACCATCAAAGTATAACTGTTTATCTATCTGTCCACTTTCGTACTTGACAGTACATCATGGATCTCGTCACTAAATGGGGCCACCTCAGTAAGGAACATAAAGAAAGGAACCGGAGAAAGTCTACCTCCTCCACCGAAGAAAATAAGGGCGGCGAAGACCATAATGATCAACGGGGTAAGTGGTGTCTATTCCTTTTTAATGCGATGAGATTGCTTGCAAAATGGGGCGGGGGCATTTTAACTAATGCGCCTATCATTTAGCGTTCAACTGGCTTCTGGGCAACTTCGGTCGCTCTCACAATGATCATCCTGATCGGAGATCGAGTGGTGCGGGGAACATGGCAACGGATATAGATGAATGGAGACGGAACCAGTAAGTGAGAGGCTTCTTTTTTTTTTCTTTTCTTTTCTTTTCTTTTCTTTTCTTATTGGGGCTGGTTTCGTTCTTTGTCTGGGTAAGATGAACTAACGCTATCTTTTTCTTGTGATTGTAGGAATTTGAAGAAGTCGCAGGAAGAGGCCCCTGATTTGCGGCCTCAGGAAGGAATCTCTGACATGAAGTCCCAGGAAGGGGTCTCTGATTTGCGGCATCAGTGAGCACAGGTTGCAGTCTTTTTATGGCGATATGAATTTCTTTGTTCTTTGGGGGCTTTTCTGATATCTGGGGTAACTGGTTTTCATTGTATTATACATTTATGATATTAGGATGATCGACGCTGTAGATAATGATGGTTATTTAACCTTATATTTTTATTGGGTCTTTTTGATCTTGAGTAGATGGGGCCGTCTCGTGGTAAACTGCCATTTTTATATCTTTCTGAATTGGCCCCATGGGGAATACTGACTGGTATTTATTTGCGGGAACTTAACCTATCCATTTACTACTACTATCTCCATTCAATACTAGGATACGGTAAGAAATGAAATCCAGGGAAACACTAACCCGTCCGGGCAAAACAATCCAGTACTGACTAACTTACCTAACCTAACTAACCTTAACTGATATTTACCAACCAATTGGTATTGATTGATACCTCGGTAGTTACCAGTAAGTAATCTATCACTCGCATCGCTATCAAGGTACTATCACGGAGAATCCCAGGTCGATCGTAGTGCATTGATCCGACGGGTTCCCCTCACGACCCCTCAATGTCGAGTAAACAAGATCCTATGTGTTGGAGTATATCTTTCCGGAGCGCTTCCTGTATCCAACTCCAGCAGCTAGATCCGATGGGATACTTGCCTGTGTGATTGCGTGCGATGAAAAGATCCGAATGCAATAGTATTATGTTTGACGTTATAAAGTGATAGATCTTGTGCTTCAGGTCTGATCGAAATGTGAGCCATACTGTCCACTGACCAACTCTTGACCTTTACAAACGATAACGACAACACTACAATTTCCAACAACCGAGATCTTGTTATCACCTCAAATTCCAAGCAAAATGCCTGCCGCATTCACCTACATCGCCAAAGCCCAGTCCACCTACAAGCCACCCCTCATCGCAAACGATAATGCTTTCCTGGGGGACGTAGTCTCGAGGTAAGAAGCCATTCCTGCCATTCCTATCCAACCATTGAAGGCTGACCCGGAATCTGTACCACGCTTAGTGAACACAATGACCCCGAGAAGCCCATCTCGGGCGGTTTCTACCGTCTGGAAAAAGGCACTCCTCTAGTCTACGAGTACCATTTCGATGAGACGAAGATCATTCTCGAGGGTGAATTTGAGATCTCGGACGAGACCGGACAGAAGGTTACGGCGGGTCCGGGGGACGTCTTTTATTTTCCAAAGGGTTCGAAGGTTACCTTCACAACGCCGTCATACGGCTTGGCGTTTTTTGTGAGTTGGATTCTCCCTTTCGTTTTTAGCTGGTTGGAAGTTTCGCGCGTTTAGTGTGTGTGACTGTGTGAGTGATGAATATGGTTAATCGATGTTTGGTAGACTGGACAACGGGCTAGGCTGTAACTGTTAAATCTGACATGCATCTTCACGAGGGATGGGTTTATTGGATCAACTGGGTCGATGACGACTGCTTTGGTTAATTAGATCGCGAACTAGGACTTGCATTTTACTTTTCCATTTTTTTTTTAAATTCAAATCCATGGAATCAGTTTTCACTAGTCTGGTGTCCCCACTTTTTCCCTTGTGAAATGACGTCCGTTTGTTTACAACGGGTCTATTCATAGACCTCGTAGCCTCGGCGATGTGACATGGTCTTTTCTTCCACGTCGTCATGCAATATGGTGGAAATTGGATCTGTGTAGACATGTAAGGGTAAAAGATCTGCGCATGGTAGTATTATAGCTGAATGGTCATCAACTATATCATAATTGATCCAATGTCCTCGAGGAGAGAGAGGAACCGAACTACGGAGTACGACCTGCCACGGAGAATTCAGCCGCATGGATCGTCAGCATCCACCAAGATCTTGTTTTTCTTTTTTCTTTTTTCTTTTTTTTTTTTTTTTTCTTCTCGACAGGGAAAGAGTGGAAGGATTTCCCTGGCGGATACTAGGTCGATGACTTG